AGGTGTAGCAGCAGTATCTGTAATAGCCAAAACCTGGAAGCAACCTAGATGCCCTTCAACTGAAGAATAGATAAAGAAAATGTGGTACATTTACGCAATGGAGTACTACTCGGCAGAGAAAAAAAAAAAAAAAAAACAATGGAATCTTGAAATTCACAGGCAAATGGATGGAACTAGAAGAAATCATCCTGAGTGAGGTAACCCAGTCACAAAAAAGGCAAACATGGTATGTACTCACTCATATATGGATTTTAGACAAAGAGAAATGAATCACCAGCCTACAATCCATACCACCAGAGAAGCTAGGAAACAATGAGGACCCTAAGAGAGGCATACATGGTCACTTATAGAAGGGGAAAGGGACTAGATCTCCTGAAAAAATTGGGAGCAGGTGGTGGGGGAGGGAGAAGAAGTTAGGAGAAAGTTGAGGGAAGAGGAGAACATGAGAGAGCAGGGGAATTGGGTCAGGGGGAAGAATAGAAAAGAACAAGAAAAGAGGTACCATAATAGAGGGAGCCATTACAGGTTTAAAGAGAAATCTCACACCAGGGAAATGTCCAGAGACTTACAAGGATGACCCCAACTGAGAAACTAAGCAATAGTGGAGAGGCTGCCTTAAATGACCTTCCCTGATAGTGATATTGATGACTACCTTATATGCCATCCTAGAGCCTTCATCCAGTAGCTGATGGAAGCAGAAGCAGACACCCACAGCTAAACACTGAGCCAAACTCCTGGAATCCAGTTACAGAGAGGGAGAAGTGATGAGTAAAGAGGTTAAGATCAGACTGGAGAAACCCACAGAAACAGCTGACCTGAACAAGGGGGAGCTCATGGACCCCAGACTGATAGCTGGGAAACTAGCATAGGACCAACCCAGACCCTCTGAACATGCGTCTCAGTTAGGAAGCCTGGGCGGTCTATGGGACTTCTGACAGTGGGACCAGGATGTATCCCTAGTGCAGGAACAGACTTTAGAAGCCCATTTCCTGTAGCCTAGAGACACGGGGGAGGGCCTAGGTTTGACAGACTTTGATGATCCCTCACCCTCCCTGGGGAGTGGATAGGGAATGGGATGGGGTGTCTGTGAGGGGCATGGGAGGATGGGAAGGAGAGGGAACTTATGGGATCGATAGATAAAATAAGAAAAAAAAATTAAATAAAAAAGTTAAAAATATAAACACCAGAACATGAGTCAGTTTTCACATATCAAAGGGGAAATGCTGACATACTGGCTTATACCTAGAATTCTAACATGGGGAGGAAGGGACAAGAGGATTCTTGGAGCTCAATAGGCAGCTAGTTGTCCTGAATCAGTGAACTCCAGGTGTGAGACCCTGTGTCAAAAACTAAGGCAGGGAGCATTAAAAGACACTGCTGTCAATCTCTAACACACACACACACACACACACACACACCACATGAACACAAACACATGCATACACCACACATGCAAAAATGTGCCTTCATGCACCAAGAACATCATCAAATACGTTTGTGCATCTGATGATGAACTATTATTCAATAATGCCACTAAATAGGAAGACTGTACATCAACTTATAAAAAGTGAAGCTTCAATGGTTAATGAGAAAAGGGAAGTCTATGAATTAACAATCAAAATATGTGTACTATATATGCCAAGAAAACAAGCACATGAATCATTACAATGGAATTTCATGTGATTTAAAATAGTTTCCTTGTTCTTTTAATGATTGTGCAATAAATAAAAACTCAAGAGTAATAAAATGAGTGGCATTAACATAAATATAAAATTAGACTTCTCAAAAACAATTATCCAAAGCAGAATCTTAGACATCTATAAGAATGAGTATTATCTAACCTTCATCTTGTTTTTAATTTGTTCTCTTAAATATCCATAACAAAATGGTCTTTAACAGAACAACAGGGCCTGAATAGATGGCTTGGTCATTAAAAGTGTTTACTGCTCTTCCAGAAAACCCAAAGTCACTTCCTAGCACCCACAAAGATTGGCTCACAACTACCTATAATGTCAACTCCAGGGGCCTGATACCCTCTTCAGACCTACATTCATATGTACATATCCACATATAGACACACATAATTTGAAAGTTAAATAGCCAAGAATGGTGGCACAAACCTTTAATCCCAGCATTTGAGAGGCTGAGACAGATGAATCTCTTTGAGTTCTAGGCTAACCTGGTTTACATAGTAAATTCCAGGACAGACAGAGCTATGCTTTTTTTTTGGGGGGGGGATCTTTTTTATTTATTTTTCTTATTTTACATATCGATCCCAGTTTCCTCTCCTTTCCTTTTTCCTTCCCTCTCTCCCTCCCTCTCATGCTCCCGACCACCCTCCCATCCCATTCTCTCCCCCACTCCACAGGGAGGGTGGTGCCTTCCAGGAGAGGTCAACAAAATCTGTCAAGTCATGAAGAGTAGGAACTAGGCCCTACCTCCTGCCTCTAGGTTAAGGGAGTACCCCTCCATGGGGAATGTGCTCCCAAAGTCCTTTTGTGCACCAGGGATACATCTTGGTTCCACTGTCAGAGCTCCTGGGCCTTCTAACTAAGATCCATGTTCAGGCAGTCTGAGTTGGTCCAATGCTGGAGTCCCAGCTATCAGTCTGGGGACCCATTAGCTCCTCTTAGTTCAGGTCAGCTGTCTCTGTGAGTTTCTGCAGCCTGGTCTTATCCTCTGCGCCTGGATTCCAGTTCGGCTCAGTGTTTAGCTATGGGTGTCTGTTTCTGTTTCCATCAGCTACTAGATGAGGACTCTATGATGGTGGATATGTTAGTCATTAATCTCATTATTAGGGAAGGACATTTATGGTAACCTTTCCACTGTTGCTCAACTTGGTAGTTGGGGTCAGTCTTGTAGGTCTCTGGATATTTCTATAGAGTCAGTTTTCTCTTCAAACCTATAATGGCTCCCTCTTTTATAGTCTCTCTCTCTCTCTCTCTCTCTCTCTCCCTCTCTCTCCTCTTGTCTATTCCTCCCCTGACTCAGTCTTCCTAGTCCCACATGCTTTCCTCTCCTCCCCTTCTCTTTCTCCTAGCTCCCTCTCCACTCACTGCCCCCCCACCCCCAATATGCTCAGGAGATCTTGTTCCTTTCCCCTTCTGTGAGTGACTTTGTATGAATCTCTTAAATTCTTCCTTGTATCCTAGTTTCTCTGGTGGTGTAGATTGTAGGCTGGTGATCCTTTGCTCTATGTCTAAAATCCATATATGAGTGAGTACATACCACCCTGAATGCACCTGATGTCGTCAGACAGGGCTATGTTAAAAGTCCAAAGATCAAAACAAACAAACAAAAAGAAAAAGAAGAAAACCCTTAAAATTTAAATAAAGGATTTATAATCATAAAATGACCAAATAAAGAGGTTTTTAGGTACATATAAAATAGACAAGCTTCTTTCCTCATACAAACAATGCCAAGTTCTTAGTCACTGAATAAACATTTATTTGAGACTGTTTCTTCACTTCATCAAATTGGTTGTCCCCACCTGTGACAACACTCTAATTCCACAATGTAAAAAAACAAATTTGCAAATCATCACTGGAGAACAAGACGTTAGGAAAACCAGGTCAGTTTAAAGACACTCACCCAGAGGGGCCTGCCCTCAATATCTCCACTGTAATTGATTAAGACACATTGTCATCCTATTGCCTCCAAGGTTCTGTTCTGTCCCATTTCTGGTCCAGCAAGCTGGATGCCTAGAGCTCTACGTCCCCCTCTTCCTCACAGAGCCGAGGGCTCATGTCCTAGATGACTAAAGTGTCTTTCCTACTGTGCTGTGATAAGATCACCCCCTCATCTGAGGAGCCCTGTCGTGAGCATATCATGTACACTAACCATTCTGGCCATCTCCCAGGAAGGAACGCAGCTAAGACACCTGTATGAGTCAACTAGTAAATGTCAGAGTCCCCTAATGAAGCAGCAAATTCTACCACTAAGGAGAAGGGAGTCTGGGTATGGCCCATCACTCCATCACTGGGCTATTGAAGTTAATGATTCACATACACAAAAGGAAAAGAACAATGTGTTCATGGGAAGCCAGCTTCCTCTGGAACACTGTTGTGTGGGAAGATAGGTGCGGATCCTGCAATTTATATCTTAATGAATTCCACTGCTCATCAAAGGAAACCCGTATTGGCAGAGAACAACACATCCACAGTTCATCAGAAGCCTGTGTCTCCCTTGCACATCTCTGATGTCAAACCTTTGGTGCAATCAAATTCTCGGCTAGATTCTTCTGATCCTCACATCTCAGCACAGAGAAACCCTCCTTTAAACATTTGCTTTACTGTGAGGAGAGCAGGGAGGATGCTCTGCCTGATATGACCAACTGAGATTCAGTTGTCATGACAGGCAGGTCCACTGCTGAAGGGGACATCTCTAGTGCTGAGGCTTCCTCAGCAGCAGTGGGGATAAAAGACTGTTCATCATGACCATACTTCACTAAAATACACACTTTTAAACTGAGATATTAGCATGAGTTTGGTTTGCACAGCTCCAATCTTCTCAGAAAAACCTAGCTACTATAAACTGGATACATTTCTGAAAAAAGATATTAATTAACACCTAGACAGGACTTCACAGACTAACACTGAGGGGTATATGATGTGGAGTCCATTTACATTCTTAGTCCTCAGGCTTTAGACTCAGCATCCATATATTATGTTTATACATTAAACATTTATGTCGCCTTGTTCCTTAAGCCAGAAGGTTTGCAACTCAGTTTTTATAACAAACATCCCAAATGCCAATTCTTCAAGCTCCACTTGTCACTTTTTCTAAATTAGAGTTTTTCTGACAGTATTCTATTCAGCAATAGAATGTCCATGAGAGTTCAGCAATGTTGGCCCATAGAATAGATTCTGATGGAAAGCAACCCTGCAGCCTGAGTCCACGGTGGATGCTGGCACCTTCCAAGAAGTAGGATAGGCCAGGGCAGACCCTGATCTCTACCCAGTCCTCCCTCCCAAAGCCCTCTGGAAAGCCAGGACACTTACTGGGTGCCGTAGTCTGCAAAGCCAGTTCTTCCAGAACAGGGCTTGGAACTGGCGCCCAGCATGCCCCATGCCGGCTGCTCCTTGCTCCTTTCAGGAAGTCAGCCTGCAGGGTCACCGCTTATATCTGCCTGGCTTCAGCACAGACATGTGGCCTATTAGCCAATTCTAACAAAAGTGAGTGATGCAAGAGAGATTACTGGTGACTTGAATAAGGCAGGCATCAAATGTCTCCCGGTATTCTGCCTCTGCTGAGAAATCTTATCTTTTCACTAGTTGTGTGGTGTAGGGGAGGGTTGGGCTCTCAGCAGCTGCCCTAGAGGCCCTTCCTGAACATAGACAAGGAGCATGCCCATCATTTCCCAGACCCCACACAAAGGCACGTGCAGGAGAGACAAGGGCCACGTTTTCCACTGACCTCCCTTTCTCCTGGTGTAAGTAGTTGAACTTTGTTGTTCTCTTTCCTAAATTGCCAGGCATCACATTAACTTGCCAAGATATTTGCATTTGAATAGTCCCACAGCAGACCCTTGGGGGAAAAAAGGGTCTGGGGTCTGGCTGTGGTTCATTTTGCCATCGTACCTCTACTGCACACTCTGCCCGCAATCCCTATCTACCAGGAAGGCTAGGGTATAATTTTCAAAGCTCAAGCCAGGAATCAGCTGCTCACAGGAGGCAAGTGCAAGCATCGCAGGATGTAGCAAGCCTTAGGGTAACTCCTGAGCCCCATAAGATCCCTGCACCCTTGTGGATCCTCTCCCTCTCCCCTACCCCAATGCACGTACACGTCAAACATGCGTGCTGTTTCTCAGGAGTATCATCCACCTTATTCTTGAGACAGGGTCTTTCATTAGCCTAGAGCTTGAACATTATGCTAGATGAAGCAGCCAGCTAGCCTCGAGGATCCACCCCTGCCTCCCTAGATGGGATTACCAGTTTGTGCTGGAATCCCCATCTTTGTGTATGGGTTCATGCCATTGAACTCGGCTCCTCATGCTTACATGGCAAAGGCTTTGCTGACCAACTTGTGCTTCCTTCTTCCACCAGCTGGCTGGGAGCCAATCGGTTGCTCCATTGTCACAAAAGCCCTGGAGGCCCTCCTCAGTTCCTGTGGCCCCTAGTTGTGGCCAGGACATCAGGCAACACGATATTGTGGTCTTCCATTTCATAAAGCAATTTTCACAAGCTCTGGCTAGTCTATAGCTTTCACAATAGGAAATAAAGACACAAGTATCAGCAAAGGAACTACTCTATCATTTAAAAAAAACATTCACTTTATGTCATTATTTGTTCAAGAGCCTTTATGTGGCACAGTGGAGCCTGGTGCATGTTAAGCGGGGTCCCCTGACACCCTCAGTCCTTCTTTTTTCTTTCCTCAGTGGTCTGCAGAGTTATCCAAGCCTTGTGGCTATAGTTCCTTTTGCAAGCAACACCTAGATCTCTGTACATCACAGATGGCTTTCACGTTTATTTCTTTCCCTTTCTTTCTTTCTTTCCTTTTAATTTAGTATACAGGAAAGTGCAAGTCATGAGATGTATATATTTTCCTTTCACAGCAACCAGTTTCTATACTCCTGTACTAATGGCAGGGATACACACCGTGTTCCACTGAGAGATTTTGTGAAAGATAGCTAGACTTCTCAAAGAAACACAGACCGTAAGTGACTGGTTGGTAGAATTGGATCATAGATTTATGAGTGGGAAAACCTCTCATTTTTTTTTTCAAGCGAGGCAGCAAGTAAGAGACACAAGAGAGCCAATGGTGCAGTTCTGCGTCCAGGGCCAACAAGCTCAAGACCCAGGCAGATGCTGGATATGGTAACTCACACCTGTAATCTTTAAGAGATGGAACAGGAAAATGGCTGTGAGGTTCAGAACAGTCTGAACTACAGAGTAAGTCCCAGTCTCCAAACACACACACACACCAAAAAAAAAGGGGGGGAGAGGATCAGAGGATGAAAGAGAGGCAGAGGGAGGAGGAAGAGAAAACCCAGAAAAACTGATGTTTCTATCCACATCTGATGTCCACAGAAAGCTGATGTCTTAACTTAAAGACCATCAGACAAGAGGAAGTCTTTTAAACAGGAAAAACTCTTTTTTTTCTAGCTAGTATTTGATTGATGGGTTAAGACCCACCCCCTTGAGGACTGTACCTAGTCAGTATCCTGAAGTGATCAAATGGTTCTCTCAGACACCCCAGAATAATATCTGATCAAGTGACTAGGCATCTTGTTGTCCAGTTGACACATAAGTATTAGCCACATAGAGTCCAGTTCTGTCAACCAGGGACCTCAACACATCTTAAACCAAACATGATTTCCAAACAAAGATTCTGACCTGACAGGACTATTATGCTCACTACCATAAATGTACTAGTTTTCCCCAAACAGAATTTTCTGGGAGGTAGTTCATTTTTTTCTCAACATTCCATGCCTAGAATACCATGATGTAACTACATTTCATATTGTGTGATGCAGTGATAAAAATGGGAAAGGCAAAGATATGTGGCATACAGACTATAACAAATATATAATCATTTTAGTGATATCCCATAACTTAAACACTACAATGTAATTACATCTCATGTTTCATGATAAGGTGGTAAGACTGGTAAGAGAAGGGATTTTTTTTTCTTATTCACACAAGCAAGTTCCTAACAACACAGAGCAAAAGCAGCAGCCCCATCTGGTTTGGACTAGTTTACCACACACTTTAATCACACAGAATGGTAGTAGTGACAGATGCATGAGGGCTCATTCTATTCCAGACAACCTATTTGTCACCTCCAGTATGGTGTACTTTAATTTTGTATTATACTACTAACATTCTTCATCTTGTCTCTGGTGGCTGGGTATTGCCACTTAACCCATGTCATTCTGGAATTCAGTTACTCCCACTGCATTTAGATTTGTGTATCCAAGTGGTGATGGTTCCCATGAGGAAAAGAAAAAGAAGACAAACAAAAAGCAACTATCACAGAATTCTCAAAGATGCTGTGGCTCCTTCCCAATTTGGTCCTCACAATGATGGTAGGAGGTACTTCTGCTGGGCCTTCTCAGGTAAGCAGGGCTTAAATAACAGACCATTCAACATTCTGATCTCCTTAAACCATTGAGTATTCTCTTTTTTATGTTACAGCAAGGCAGATAAGGCATTTATGACATATTCACAATGGATCATGTTTGGCTCATATTTTAGGCAAACAGCCAACTGGTGAGAGCCCCTCCCCATCTATGGTAGTTTGAATGTAACTGGCCCCATAAGCTCATAGGGAGTGGGCACTATTAGGAGGTATGTTCTTGAGAGAGGAAATGTGTCACTATGGGAGCAGGCTTTGAGGCCTCCTGTGCTCAAGATACATTCAGTGTCTCAGACCACTTCCAGTTGCCTGCAGGTCAAAAAGTAGGAATCTCAGCTCCTTCTCCAGCACCATGTCTGCCTGCATGCCACTATATTGCACCATGATGATAATGAACTAAACCTCTGAACTGTAAGCAAGCCACCCTACTTAAATGTTTTTCCTTTATAAGAGTTGCCATGACTTCAACATGAATCCAGCCACACTGAACCTCTTAGAAGAGAAAGTGGGAAGTACCTTCGAACAAATTAGTACAGGAGACCGCTTCCTGAACATAACTCCAGTAGCACAGACACTGAGATCAACAATTAATAAATGGGACCTCCTCAAACTGAGAAGCTTCTGTAAGACAAAGGACACAGTTGACAAGACCAAATGGCAGCCCACAGACTGGGAAAAAAATCTTCACCAATCCAACATAGGACTGATCTCCAAAATATACAAAGAACTCAAGAAACCAGTAACCAAAACACCAAATCACCCTATTAAAAAGTGGGGTACAGAATTGAATAGAGAACTCTCAATAGATGAATCCAAAATGGCTGAAAGGCACTTAAGAAAGTGCTCAACATCCTTACCTATCAGGGAAATGCAAATCAAAACAACTTTGAGACACCATCTTACTCCTTCCAGAATGGCTAAAATTAGAAACACCAATGACAACTCATGCTGGAGAGGATGTGGAGAAAGGGGAACACTCCTCCACTGCTGGTGGAAGTGCAAACTTGTACAGCCATTTTGGAGATCAGTATGGCAGTTCCTTAGGAAAATGGGAATTAGTCTACCACAGGACCCGGCAATCCCACTCTTAGGCATATATTCAAATGATCCACATCCATGCAACAAAGTCATGTGTTCAACTATATTCGTAGTAGCATTATTTGTAATAGCAAGAACCTGGAAGCAATCTAGATGCTCCTCAACTGAAAAATGGATAAAGAAAATGCGGTATATTGCACAATGGAATACTACTCTGCAGGAAAAAAAAAAACAATGGAATCTTGAAATTCACAGGCAAATGGATGGAACTTGAAGAAACCATCCTGAATGAGGTAACCCAGTCACAAAAAGATGAACATGGTATGTACTCATTCATACATGGATTTTAGACATAGAGCAAAGGATCACCGGCCTATAATTCACACCACCAGAGAAACTAGGATACAAGGAAGATTCTAAGAGATTCATATAAGGTCCCTCACAGAAAGGGAAAGGAACAAGATCTCCTGAGCATATTTGGAGTGGAGGGGGACAGTGAGTGGAGAGGGAGCTAGGAGAAAGAGAAGGGGAGGAGAGGAAAGCACGTGGGACTAGGAAGACTGAGTCAGGGGAGGAATAGACAAGAGGAGAGAGAGGGAGAGAGAAAGAGACTATAAAAGAGGGAGCCATTATAGGTTTGAAGAGAAAACTGACTCTATAGAAATGTCCAGAGACCTACAAGACTGACCCCAACTAACAATTTGAGCAACAGTGGAAAGGCTACCATAAATGCCCTTCTCTGATAATGAGATTAATGACTAACTTATCCACCATCATAGAGTCCTCATCTAGTAGCTGACAGAAACAGAAACAGACACTCACAGCTAAACACTGAGCCGAACTGGAATCCAGATGTAGAGAGGGAGGATAAGACCAGGCTACAGAAACCCACAGAGACAGCTGACCTGAACTAGGAGGAGCTAATGGACCCCCAGACTGATAGCTGGGAAACCAG